CATTCACTTCTTACATCTAGCAGATATTTTTTCTTTGAAAACAGCCTACAATTCATATCATCAAATGTCAATGAATCAATACTTTACTGAAAGATAATTCAAAGGAGGAGAAAGGTGGGTGTAAAAATTGCAGTTAACAGTAAAGATGGCTTAAGATACCAAGTGGTAAAAGTAAGTAGAAAATTCAAGCACACATCTAAATAAAGTGGAGAAATGGCTGACAAGAGAAGTGCAGTACAAATAATTTGAAAGAAAGTTTGTATTTGTGCCTTTGTATGTTTAGAATAGTTTGTTGTTGCTGGTGGCCTCAGCAAGATAAGTGACAGGAGCATATTGAGGTAGAAAGTCAAAATACTGTGGATGGTGGAGTGAACAGGAAGGAGATGAAGAAAATGACTCAAAGTAGAGGGAAGGAACTATAAGGGAGGGCCATTTCTTAAAAATTGGTATAGCTCACAAGCCAGTGCAAGTACTGCACTTTGTTTGCTGGCAGAGTACTAGATTTGAGGAGCAAAGCAATGATGTGGATACAGTTTTACAGTGAAACTGAGCTTGTGGGAAAAGACTCCCTATTTCTGTAACAATACATTCTCTGTGTTCTCTTCCAACCTTTACCTAGTTCTCCTATTTGCTTTTCTTAAATAGAAGTATTTCCCCAAGTTCTGTCCCTAACTCCACCCATCCCCTTCCTCTCAAGGCCATCTCAAACCACTAGCTAGAAGACCCCCTAGTCAGTCAGCTCTGACTTTTCTCTCTGGAATCCTGCTATTTCCTATGGCTTCTGAAAAACTACAGCTTCTGATAAACCAGCTTCTATACAACTACTTCACTGGCTCTTCAAACCTGTTACTGTTTCAAAATGAGGCTCCATGTCACAGATACATGCAAGTAGCTTTTACATAAGACAAATATGGGCTTAAATCTTGACTCTAACCAAACGGGTGACCATGGGATGTGGAGAGGCACACCTGAAATACAGCCTGGGAACCATTTTGCTCAGTGCCTGGCTAAGGATCAAGCTCAGTTTACTAACTAACATTATTACTAAACCATTTAGAACCCAGAATTGTATCTTATCATCCAGAAGCTACACTCCATTTAACTACCAGAAACATCTTTATGAGACTCAAATTAGATCTTATTAGTTAAAAACTTACTCAAAGCTCTCCAACAGAAAAAACTTAAGTCTGGCACACAATATGTGATTTGCCACTAAGTACTTTCTACTACTCATCACACACATTGTGCTCAAGCCAGAATGTATGATCAACTGTTTTCAGCGCGCGCACACACACACACACACACACAGTAGAGCTGTATCATACAATATATACATTTCAGAGAATTCCTTGGTGGTCCAGTGGTTAGGACTCCAAGCTCCCACTACAATATATATATTTCAACTTGTGCAAATATACAGTAGGGAAATCAGGAGGGAGGGCAAAGGAGGTAGGTGTTAGGGAGAAAATGAGAGCAGGAGGAAGCGAAGATGTCAAAAGTTGAGTATGAATTTACCACCTCTAGGCAGCTGGATTTCCTCTAAGATTCTCACAATGTAAGCAGCTTATCATGCTGAGTAAGATTTCAGAGTTAGTATAACAGGGCTGCTCCACGAAAGTCAAATATTTTGCCTGGTACTCTACTGAAGAAAAGGGATTCATTCCCTCATTTGAGGAAAACATGACTGTGTTGGACCAAACAAGACATGGTACTATTTTATGGATGAAGTGAAGAACCTTTCTAATGGTTCAAGAGTTTGGTCTTAAATTGGCTTTAGATGCTATACTTCTATCTTCTCCCTGCCTCCACATCTTCACCCTTCACACAAAATATCTGCCTCCCAGAATACACAGACTGCTCTGACTCCGTGGGGCTGGAAAGTACTAAGTGGATCTGTTGTGTTTCTTTCAGTCTGTTATTTTATGCATTAACTTTTACTTCAAAACAGGAACTATGCCATGTGTGTGTATGTATGTGTGTGTATATATATATATGTATGTATGTGTGTGTATACATATATACACAATATATACATATATATACATATATATACATATATATATATATAAAAAACACTCTCAGTGCCTAACCCAGAGCCTTGAATATAGTCAGCAAATACTCATTAAATAAAAAGAAAGTACAAATAAAAGGAGCAATGGTGGCTGGCAAAATCCTAAATGTATTTAGGGAATTGGGATCAAATGATAGGTAGATTAGACCAAAAGGCAGAGGAGTCAAGAGATCAAACTGTCAACATCCTTTGGATCAATAGAAAAAGCAAGAGAATTTCAAAAAGACATCAACTTCTGCTTCACTGACTACACTAAAGCCTTTAACTGTGTGGGTCACAACAAACTGTGGAAAATTCTTAAAGAGATGGGAATACCAGATCACCTTACCTGCCCTGTGAGAAATCTATATGCAAGTCAAGAACTAATGGTTTGAACCGGACACAGAACAACAGACTGGTTCCAAATGGGGAAGGAGTACATCAAAACTGTATATTATCACCCTGCTTATTTAACTTACAGGCAGAGTACATCATGCAAAATGATGGACTGGATGAAGCACAAGCTGGAATCAAGATTGCCAGAAGAAATATCAATAACCTCAGATAGGCAGATGACACCACCCTTTTGGCAGAAAGCGAAGAACTAAAGAGCCCCTTGATCAAAGTGAAAGAGAGTGAAAAAGCTGGCCTAACTCAACGTTCAGAAAACTAAGATCATGGCATCTGATCCCATCTCTTCATAGCAAATAGATGGGGAAACAGTGACAGACTTTAGTTTTTTGGGCTCTAAGATCATTGCAGATGGTGACTGCAGCCACAAAAGACGCTTACTCCTTGGAAGGAAAGCAATGACCAACTAAGACAGCATATTAAAAAGCAGAGACATTACTTTGCCAACAGAGGTCCATGTAGTCAAAGCTAAGGCTTTTCCAGTGGTCCTGTATGGATGTGAGAGTTGGACTCTAAAGAAACCTGAGCGCCAAAGAACTGATGCTTTTGAACTGTGGTGTTGGAGAAGACTCGAGAGTCCCTAGGACTGCAAGGAGATCCAACCAGTCCATCCTAAAGGAAATCAGTCCTGAATATTCATTGGAAGGACTGATGCTGAAGCTAAAACTCCAATACTTTGGCCACCTGATTTGAAGAACTGACTCATTTGAAGAGACCCTGATGCTGGGAAAGACTGAAGGTGGGAGGAGAAGAGGACGACAGAGGATGAGATGGTTGCGTGGCATCACTGACTCAATGGACAGGAGTTTGAATAAACTCTAGGAACTGGTGATGAACAGGGAGGCCTGCTGTGCTGCAGTGCATGGTGTCACAAAGAGTTGGACACGACTGAGTGACTGAACTGAACAGAACCCAAAATAAAATGAGTCACTTCCAGTCTTTAGAGCTGTTACATATATATGGTTTCCATACTGTACCATCCCTTTACCTTTAGGTGATCTGAGTTAGCCTCTAGTTTATGCCCATTTTCAACTTACTATTATCTTGGATGACTTTACATAATTTTTTCTCCAGAAAGTAACCTCAAACTTACTCTTCAGCAAAAAAGACCAATCTGAAACATAATAGGATAATTCCACTACCAATCACATTTATAGAGTATGGCACCTAAGATCAAGCATTTTAAAGGATTTGTACATTACTTGTTATGGCTTATTTTTTGTTACCTTTTGTCTCCCCCTATCACTTCTGTCTAGGACTAGATAAACTAGTGTAAATGATAAAGGAATAAAATAATACAGCTACACAATTTTTGTTTGAATAATATTTTAGATTTGGGTTTGAAATCCCTTTAAGAAGCTAGGGTTCTTTTCAAAAGACAATATTTTGAAAACAACACATGCTGGCCAAATTAATACAGCTGTAGGAGAAATACTTTAAGGTAAGTATTATTTTAACAAAGATGAAGACAAACTAATTTTATTCATGAGTATAAAGCGGTGCATTTTCAAAACGAGTTTTTGAGATCAATTCTTTAAAGATACTGGTCAAACAAATATGTTTTGGAAATATAATACATTATAATCCTTTTCCCCCACTCAAAAAATATACCAACCCTTACAGTCTCTAAAACATTTTACCAAAAATTAAAAAAATAAAGGACCTGTTGAACTTTATGTGAAGTGAAAGCATCTCAGTCGTGTCTGACTCTTTACGACCCCATGGACCCATGGAATTCTTTAGCCCAGAATACTGGAGTGGGTAGCTTTTCCCTTCTCCAGGGGATCTCTCCAACCCAAGAATCAAATGAACCCAGGTCTCCTGCATTGCAGGCGGATAATTTACCAGCTGAGCCTCAAGGGAAGCCCATTGAATATATAATCCATCATTCCCATATTTCTTTGACCAGAGTTCCCCACCTTTTGGGGTTAGAAGTAGCAGTGGTAGAAAACACTCTGGGGAAACACTGCTATCTAGCTCTGTTTGAAATTATTACTCCTAAAAAACTTATAAAGTAGCTAGGATAGAAACTGTGATAATAAATGAGACGCTTACTGGGATATATGTATTCCATGTAACTTGTATTAAGTATTTAAAACAGATAAGAAAAGCGACAATTATAAGATGGATTACTTAATTAAAATTTTAAAAAATTAACATTTAAGCCAAATGCCTATTTTAAATGCTAATTTTCTGTACCAGAAAATATTATCTGATGCCATTCCCTCCCTCTGATACTAAGTGCAATCTTTCAATATTAAAACTAAAGTTGCTCCTAGGTATTGAGTGGTTGAGCACAGGTTTGTGAATCTACTGGTTTAGAATTATTTGTGCCTTTGTTTCTCTTTGTACCACAGTGTACTGACTATTTTGAAGGGAAAAATACTTTTAACATGTGGATTTGCTTATATTATGTTTTGTTAAACATCTGGACCATTTTGTTTTGATGTCAACATAATTCTATTGGGCGGGACAAAGTATTGAATAGTTAACACTCCCCAAAAAGAGAGGGACTACAGCAGTTTTAGAAAGCACTTACTTAATCATTTCAAAAAGCTTTGGATCTGAGACCTTGATATTTCGTGCCATATTCCAGGAAAGATGAACCATGGGTACTATTGACTTCACACTTTGCAATTTGTTCCATTCGTACCGTTCCACTGCCAATTTATACTGGCAGGCTAGGAAAAAAAAAACAGTTATAAAGCAACCCAAAGTACCAAAGATATGAAGATAACCACTATCACTTTCTTAGGTGATACCATCAACACCAATTCTAAAAATCTCAAAATATTACAAAAATATTTTAATTGTGATAATAATAGTAGTGATCATGTAAAGAATGCTTACTCTAACTTTGTGCTACACACTGTGCTAAAGTATTTCACGATATTATACCATTTAATCTTTGCTGTTATCTTATTAATTTTATCACTTCCATTATACAGATGAAGAAACTGAGGCCCAGAGAGGTTCTGTAACTTGCCCAAAGTTGTAAAAGCCAGGTCTGGTCCTAATCCAGGTCTTCTGGCTTGGGAGGCCATAATCTTAATACTGCCTACAGGCAGGCATAATTCAAACAGATTTTAACATAATAGGGCTAAATATATATGACATATCAGATAATGAAAGATTTCAAAGAATGCATAATCACTGTACTTTGCTCTCTCCCATAAAGGGTTTTTCCTTTATGAAACAAAATCAAGCACTCTAAAAAATTATTGAAAGTATCTCTTTCTTGCATATAAAACATAAAATTTATCATTTGGTGAGATCTACAGTCTTGGATTTCTATTTGTTAACTTACTATCTTGTACTACAAGTTAAATTTTTTACTCAAGGAGACATTCTTCCTCTGATTTCTAGTGAGCTACATTCCAAGAAAAAAGAATAAACTCATCAGATACAATCCTTTATAAACTTAAGTGTTTTTCTTAAAGTCATAGTCTTTAAAATACCTGTAAGTGGACCAACATTCCAAGCAATGTTGTTGCACCAGCCAATAGCTTGAACCCAATGCACAGTGCCTGCATTTATCCAGACCAAATCTCCAGGTCGCTGAATAAACCTATACACTGGAACATTTGCTTCATAAAGATCTTCAAGGTTGGGCCACCAAGAACCCATTAGGAAATTCAAATTATTTCTGAAATAAGAAAAAATATTACAAATGGATCAAGTACTTTAATAAGCTCCTTACATGACTGAAAGACAATGCCAGAAGTTTTTAAAAATACGGTTATTCATTGTACTGAAACTTACAGCTTATGCAATGAGAAACTGTAGTATATAAAATGAGTGAAATTAATTACAGTTAAGTAGTGGATGACTTATCTAAATATCAGTATTACTACCTTCAGTTGATTTTTCAAAGATCCAAATGAAATCAAAAGTTAACACTTACATACATTAACCTTTAATTTCATTTCACTAAAGTCTATTTTGATTAAACTCTTTTCCTTGGTGCACCTAGAAACCTCTAAAAGGTAAATGGAAGGTGGGGTTGGCATCAAGCTATTTAAATCCATAAACAGGAACTCTATGGCAGATACAAGTTCATTTTCTGAGGAAAAGTAGAAGAGAAAGCAGAAATGTTCTCTATTGCTGTTTTGAATCCTAAGCAGGAAAGGAGGATAGCATATCAGTCTCTGTACAGTTTTGATGACTGATTGACTAAAACGATGCAGTTAAAAAATAAACACTCATACACATGTACAAATATTGATAACAATCACCACCACCACCACTATACTTTAGAGACAACACGTTACTAAGCTTTTCCTTTAAAATCTGGCTTTTAATTCTATTTCATCATGATATGAAATATTTTTATAACTAGTTTAGAAAAACTTGTCTGTAAAGCGGAATATGGTTATAAACAAATCCTAGCCCTATTTATCCCATGTGCTCTTGTTTTAAAATTGGAGAAAACTTTCTATCCAAAAGCAAGCACACAATCAATACCATCTAATAATCAATAGCTAGGGTAAAAAAACAACTCAAGCTAATAACAATGACAAAAAATCAAGTATCTTCTCTATCATATAGTCAAGTGACTGGTTATTTCATGACAAATATAAAGTCAAACTATACAGATATGGTCAAATCAGTTAGTATTACAAGCAAAAATCCTTCTGTGAAACAAAATTACACTGAAATGCAGAGGTAGCAACTGGTATTTCTGAAACTTAGTTAAATTTACCTAACTCTTCAGACTTTTTTATTATCCCCATGTTCAAGCTTTTAGACATCATCTGCCTATTCCAATTACCTATTCCCACGTTACCTCTCCATTCAGATAGAAAAAAACACTACATGCTAAAAATAGTCAATCCTACTCAGAAATAATGAAAAAGGATCACTGTACTGTAGCTACAACAATATACTAAATAGTATCTCAAAGTTTAAAAAATAAAAATATTTCTGAAGCATCATAGAGATTTTCTGTATGATACAGTTCTTTCTCTGCTACCACCAGACTGCTGGTCCAGTAAAGATTAAAATGGATCAGGTTATTTCACAAGAGCATTTGACTCTTTAAAATTTCACATCTTGAGCTTTCTTAGAAAATAAAACGTGACTAACTTCTGCTTGTATATAAAGAAAGTCTGTCATATTATGGTTGTTTTTGCAACTATATTTATATAGTATATATATACATATATATACTATATATAGTAAAAAAGTAAACTATATTTAAATTTCACGCTAAATCAAGATATTTACAGCAAGGATCTTTTAACCCAAAATTTGCAAACTCTAAGTCAGTATGTATAATAGGTGTATAATTAATTTTCAAAGTCTCTCATATATAAATGTTTTAGGTGGTTTTCCCCCTCTTTATCCTACTGGGCTGGAGAGGAAATAACACCAAATTATGTATAATTTATATTTTTAGCTATAATAATTTTCCAATTTAATTACAAATGGAAAAAAATCAGGATCTTAAGTAACAGAGTAATTTTTTAAACAAAGTAAGACAAATAATTAAATTTAAATTAATGAAAACAATTCCCAAGTACCCTTTAACGGAAGATAATTAAACAAAGAGTTTCTAGGAACTTAAGGAAAGGAACATTTCCATTATATGAATTCTTTCAATTCTAGGTGACAAAATCTGAAGCTATTGTTTAAATCTTACAAAATTGCGTTATAAGAAAAGTTACCAATGTAGTTTTAAAAAGAATTTGTATCATGATGATACAGCAAAGAGTAATACATTCAAGTTTAAGTTAATAACAACCTCTAAGGGTGCTCAATTATAGAATTCCTTCCATTTCTAAAGCCATTTATCTAAGAACAATGTTTCTTTCACATAAACAAGTATTTATACATCAACTGCTTAATTAACCCAGTAAACAATACAACTTTCTACCCATTAAATTCAAGACTATCACTACTGCATGAAGTGGTTTTGAAGTATCTTTCTTTTTTTTTTCATTTATTTTTATTAGTTGGAGGTTAATTACTTTACAATATTGTAGTGGCTTTTGCCATACACTGACATAAATCAGCCATGGATTTAAATGTGCTCCCCATCCTGAACCCCCCTTCCACCTCCCTCCCCATCCCATCCCTCTTAAAATACTCCCAATAACACAAAATAATAGGTTTATAATCAAATCATTTTATAAATGAATTTCCTGCTGAATGGTAAATGAAAATTGCTTACATGCATTAAGATATCCAGCTTAGTAAGTTGCCCTTTACAATAACTGTTTTCAAATAATTGTGTTTAATAAAATTCAGTTTGGAAACCTACTTTTCACAGAAGTCATTCAGAACACCCCAGTAACCTTCCGGAACAACAAACCATTCACAGTCACCTGGACCAATATTAATGTTAACTGAACAGAAATTGTTATTTTCTTGATGACCTGAAATGTGAAAAGAAAAAAAATAATCAGCATACAATAAATTCTATAGAAAAATGTGTCTTTAGGAATGAAACCTTAGAAATGTTCAACAGAAAATACTCCTGTGTTATTCAATTGTTTATCAGTATATGTCAAGTCTTAGAGCTGAGTTTGGTCAACTCCTAACTTTTTCAGTAGGAGCTCTGTGGAAGACAACCTAAATCACAGTTAAAAGCTTAGGTTGTGAAGCCAGGTTCCTTGGCTTAGTTATTATGTGACACTGGGCAAGTTTCTAAACCTTTCTGATTCAGTTTCCTATAAGATTTGGTGATAATGATTTCAATAAGTCAATGGGTTGTTCTGAGAAACAATGAAACACAGACTGCTTTGAATACTGCCTAATACATGGTAAGTAATAAATATTGGCTATTATTGATATTATTACCACTACTTCCTTGTGAACTAATTCCCATTTCTTACAAGTAGCATTAGGACATCAGTAGAGAGGCAAGAAGTCTGATTTTCAAACTGTATGTAGTGGCAGGAATGGTGTCAACAAAAATGGCCGAGCAGGGAACTTGGGGAACTCTCCAGAAATACCAAACAACAAAAATAACAAAAACACCTGGTGAAAACTGTCAGAAGCAAACTCATGAGAAATTTGGACAATATAGTCAAAGGTTTACAGAAACGGACAACTGACCAAAAGAAAGGTGACTTAAACACAGTAGATATCTGTATGTCACTCACCATATCTCCATTTCTACCACTGCTGTGACAGTGAACTTAAAAAATAGTAGTGTGAATTCCTAGTGTGAGTGTCCCTGGTTCTCGAGGGAGCAGAATAGATCTTGTTCCCAAAGAATTCTGTTCTGTCTACCCTGCAGTTTCCCCAAAAGGCTGACAGAAAGGGGATTTCTCGTTCTTTCACCTAACTCAGAGCCCTATCAGCACAAGTATTTCAATGCAGGAGGACCTCCCAAAACATTGCCAGACTAAAGAACAAGCTGATGCCACCAAGGGCAAAAAACAAAACAAACAAAAGAACCACCTGGAGAAAACGACAGACATCCCAAACGCTTGGATGGAAAAGCTGGGGAGTGAGATTTCACAGGAATAAAGGCTTTGAAAAGTTCCTCTGGATACTGTAGAATTTAGAAGCCACATACATGCTCAGGGCAAGAGTCGTTTAAAGAAATCTATCATATCACTGCTGAGATAATTAATGGAAAGGACACTTCAGTGCCCATATATGACAAGGAATATAGTCTTTGTAAAAACAGTGTGACTACTACATATAAAAGGATTTCATGTGGCTCAGAGGGTGAAGAGTCTGCCTGCAATGTGGGAGACCTGAGTTCGATCCCTGGGTCAGGAAGATCCCCCGGAGAAGAATATTGCAACCCACTCCAATATTCTTGCCTAGAAAATCCCTTCGACAGAAAAGCCTGGTGGGCTACAGTCAATAGGGTCATAAAGAGTCAGACAAAACTGAGTGACTTCACTCTCACTAAATATAAAAATAGATAACTAATGAATACCTACTCTATAGCACAGGGAACTCTACTCAATACTCTGTAATGGCCTAAATGGGAAAAGAATCTGAAAAAGAACAGATATATGAATAACTGAAAAAAAAAAAAAAGTTTGGAAACTCACTAAATGAATAAACTACTATAGCCCATAACAAGCAACAGTAACAAACCTTACAAAAGAGAGGAGACTCTGATTTCTGCTAACTGCCACAACATAATATTCAAAATGTCAAAATACTAGCTGAGCACTATGCTAAAGGGACAGAGACTTCAGAGACCACATTCTACAAATACTCAAGAAATCAGTTTTCAACAAAAACTCATGAGGTATGTAAAGAAACAAAGTATGGTCTAGTTATAGAAAGAAAAAAAAATCAGAAATAAACAAAAGGTATTTCTTAAAAGGCACAGACACTGGACTTCAGAGACAAATAACTTTATATCAACTATCTTAAAATATACATAGTTAAAAAAAACATGTTCAAGAACAAAAGGAAACAAGGAGAATGATGCCTCAACAAACAGATTATCAATCAGTTCACTTCAGTTGTTCAGTCCTGTACAACTCTTTGAGACCTCATGGACTGCAGCACACCAGGCTTCCCTGTCCATCACCAATGCCCAGAGCTTACTCAAACTCATGTCCATTGAGTTGGTGATGCCATTCAACCATCTCATTCTCTGTCGTCCCCTTATCCTCCTGCCTTGAATCTTTCCCAGCAACAGGGTCTTTTCCAAGGAGTCAGTTCTTCACATCAGGTGGCCAAAGTATTGGAGTTTCAGCTTCATCATCAGTCCCTCCAATGAATATTCAGGACTGATTTCCTTTAGGATGGACTGGTTGGATCTCCTTGCAGTCCAAGGGACTCTCAAGAGTGTTCTCCAACACCACAGTTCAAAAGCATAAATTCTTCTGCGCTCAGCTTTCTTTATAGTCCAACTCTCACATCCATACATGACTACTGGAAAAACCACAGCTTTGACTAGACAAACCTCTGTTGGCAAAGTAATGTCTCTGCTTTTTTAACATGCTGCCTAGGTTGGTCATTCCTTTCCTTCCAAGGAGCAAGCGTCTTTTAACTTCATGGCTGCAGTCACCATCTGCAGGGATTTTGTAGCCCAATAAAATAAAGTTTGCCACTGTTTCCATGGTTTCCCCATCTATTTGCCACGAAGTGATGCGACTGGATGCCACGATCTTAGTTTTCTGAATGTTGAGTTTTAAGCCAACTTTTTCACTCCTCTTTCACTTTCATCAAAAGGCTTTTTTTAGTTCTTCACTTTCTGCCATAAGGGTGGTGTCATCGCATATCTGAGCTTATTGATATTTCATCCAGCAATCTTGATTCCAGCTTGTACTGCATCCAGTCCAGCATTTCACATGATGTACTGCGCATATAAGTTAAAGAAGCAGGGTGACAATATATAGCCTTGACATACTCCTTTCCCAATTTGGAACCAGTCTGTTGTTCCATGTCCAGTTCTAACTGTTGCTTCTTGACCTGCATACAGATTTCTCAGGAGGCAGGTCAGGTGGTCTGGTATTCCCATCTCTAAGAATTTTCCAGTTTGTTGTGATCCACACAGTCAAAGGCTTTGGCATAGTCAATAAAGCAGATGTTTTCCTCGAACTCTCATGCTTTTACGATGATCCAACGGATGGTGGCAATTTTATCACTGGTTCCTCTCTGTCTTGTCCAAATCCAGTTTGAACAACTGGAAGTTCATGGTTCACATACATATGAAGCCTGGCCTGGAATTTTGAGCATTACTTTGGTAGCACGTGAGATGAGTGCAATTCTGAGGTAGCTGGACATTCTTTGGCATTGCCGTTCTTTGGGATTGGAATAAAAATTGACCTTTTCCCGTCCTGTGGCCATTGCTGAGTTTTCCAAATTTGCTGGCATATTGAGTGCAGGATTTGAAATAGCTCAACTGGAATTTCATTACCTCCACTAGCTCTGTTCATCATGATGCTTCCTAAGGCTCATTTGACTTCGCATTCCAGGATGTCTGGCTCTAGGTGAGTGATCACACCATCATGGTTATCTGGGTCATGAAGGTCTTTTTTGTATAGTTCTTCTGTGTGTTCTTGCCACCTCTTCTCAGTACCTTCTGCTTCTGTTAGGTGTATGCCATTTCTGCCCTTTATTGTGCCCATCTTTGCATGAAATGTTCCCTTGGTATCTCTAATTTTCTTGAAGAGATCTCTAGTCTTTCCCATTCTACTGTTTTCCTCTATTTCTTTGCACTGATCACTGAGGAAGGCTTTCTTATCTCTCCTTGCTATTCTTTGGAACTTTGAATTCAAATGGGTATTAAGTTCAGTTGAGTCGCTTAGTTGTGTCCGACTCTTTGCGACCCCATTAACTGCAGCACACCAGGCCTCCCTGTCCATCACCAACTCCCGGAGTCCACCCAAACCTATGTCCATTGTGTCGGTGATGCCATACAACCATCTCATCCTCTGTCGTCCCCTTCTCCTTCTGTCTTCAATCTTTCCCAGCATCAGGGTCTTTTCAAATGAGTCAGCTCTCTGCATCAGGTGACCAAAGTATTGGAGCTTCAGCTTCAACATCAGTCCCTCCAATGAACACCCCAGGACTGATCTCCTTTAAGATGGACTGGTTGGATCTCCTTGCAGTTCAAGGGACTCTCAAGAGTCTTCTCCAACACCACAGTTCAAAAGCATCAATTTTCGGGGCTCAGTTTTCTTCACGGTTCAACTCTCACATCCATACATGACTACTGGAAAAACCATAGCCTTGACCTTTGTTGGCAAAGTATTGTCTCTGCTTTTTAATATGCTGTCTAGGTTGGTCATAACTTTCCTTCCAAGGAGCAAGCCTTTATCTTTCCTTTTCTCCTTTGTTTTTTGCTTTTCTTCTTTTCATAGCTATTTGTAAGGCCTCCTCAGACAGCCATTATGCTTTTTTGCATTTCTTTTTCTTGGGGATGGTCTTGATCCTTGTCTCCTGTACAATGTCACGAATCTCCGTCCATAGTTCATCAGGCAGTCTGTCTGTCAGATCTATTGTCCCTTAAATCTATTTCTCACTTCCACTGTATAGTCATAAGGGATTTGAGTTAGGTCATCCCTGAATGGTCTAACGGTTTTCCCTACTTTCTTCAATTTAAGTCTGAATTTGGCAATAAGGAGATCCTATCTGAGCCACAGCCAGCTCCTAGTCTTCTTTTTGCTGACTGTATAGGGCTTCTCCATCTTTGGCTGCAAAGAATATAGTCAATGTGATTTCAGTATTGACCATCCGGTGATGTCCACGTGTAGAATCTTGTCTTGTGTTCTTGGAAGAAGGTGTTTGCTATGACCAGTGTGTTCTCTTGGCAAAACTGTGTTATCCTTTGCCCTACTTCATTCTGTACTCCAGGCCAAATTTGCATGTTACTCCAAGTATTTCTTCTTACTTTTGCATTCCAGTCCCCTACAATGAAAATGACATCTTTTGGGGGTGTTAGTTCTAGAATGTCTTGTAGGTCTTCATAGAACCGTTCAACTTCAGCTTCTTCTGCATTACTGGTCGGGGCACAGACTTGGATTACCGTGATATTGAATGGTTTGCCTTACAGAGATCATTCTGTCGTTTTTGAGACTGCAACCAAGTACTGCATTTTGTATTCTTTTGTTGACTATGAGGGCTACTCCATTTCTTCTAAGGGAGTCTTGTCCACATTAGTAGATATAATGGTCATCTGAGTTAAATTCATCCAGTCCCGTCCATTTTAGTTCACTGATTCCTAAAATGTCAATGTCATTCTTGCCATCTCCTGTTTGACCACTTCCAATTTGCCTTGATTCATGGACCTAACATTCCAGGTTCCTATGCAATATTGCTCTTTACAGCATCAGACTTTACTTCCATCACCCATCACAACCACAACTGGGTGTTGTTTTTGCCTTGGCTCTGTCTCTTCCCTCTTTCTGGAGTTATTTCTCCACTGATGTCCCAGTAGCATTTTGGGCACCTACTAACCTGGGGAGTTCATCTTTCAGTGTCCTATCTTTTTGCCTTTTCATGGGGTTCTGAAGGCAAGAATACTGAAGTGGTTTGCCACTCCCTTCTCCAGTGAACCACGTTTCTTCACAACTCTCCACCATGACCCGTCCATCTTGGGTGGCCCTACACGGTATGGCTAATAGTTTCATTGAGTTAGACAAGACTGTGGTCCATGTCATCAGTTTGGTTAGTTTTCCGTGACTGTGTTTTTTTTGTGTAGTTTTCTGTGATTAGCAATGAAGAAATGCAAATCATAATGAGGAACGAGATATAAGTTTGAAGCTGAAAGAAACAATAACTGAAATGAATTCAGTTCAGTAGATGTGACCAGGATAAAGAATCAGCAAATTTATAGACAGGTGAAATGAAACTATATATTCTGAGGAGAAGAAAGAAAACAATGAAAAAAAATCCACAGACCCTAGGAGACCCATGGGACACGAGCATGCACATGCATTGTAGGAGTCCCAGAAGAGGAAAGAGAAAAGGGGCAATAAGAATATTTGAAGAAATTATAGTAAAAAAACTTCCCAAACATGACAAAACACATGAATCTCCATATCCAAGAAGCTCAAGGAATTCTAAGAAAGATAAATTCAAAAATATTCATTCTAAAATAATACTCAAACTGTATAAAGGCAAAGAAAATCTAGAAAGCAGGAGAAGAGAAGTGATTGTGATATAAACAGGATTGTCAACACAATAGCTGTTTTCGTAACGGAAACCATGGGGTCCGGAAAGCAATAGCTTAACATATTTATGTTGCTGAAGAGAAAAAAAAAACTTAACCAAACAACTGAACTAAAAATTTGGCAAAACTATTCTTCAAAACTAAAGGAGAATTTAGTCAATCTGCTCTATAAGAAATGCTACAGTTTTTCAGATTGAAATTAAAGAATATAAGATAGTAACTCAAAGCTCTATGAAGAGATAAAGGACTGAGTTGAGGACTCACACTTCCCAATTTTAAAAATTACCTCAAAGGGAATCAAACCTGTGTGGTACTGGAATAAAAATGGAGATAAAAATCAATGGAACAGTATCAAGATTCCAGAATTAAACCCATACATCTATGGTTAATTGATTTTCAACAAATGGTGCTGGGAAAATTGGTTAGCTATATGTTAAAGAATACTGTTGGACAACTGGCTCATACTACACACAAAAACTAACTCAACATGGATCTAAGACCTAAATCTAAGAAGTATAAACATCTAAGAAGAAAACAGACACAAATTCTTTACAATTTTGGATTTTGCAATGGTTTCTTAAATATGACACCAAAAGCATGTGACAAAAGAAAAAAATTAATTAAATTTCATTAAAATTTAAAAACTTTTGTACATGAATGGACACTATCAAGAGAATGAAATAATAACCTACAAAATGGGAGGAAATACTGCAAATCATGTATCTGATAAAGAATTAATATCCAGACTATATAAAGAACTCTTACAACTCAACAACAAAAGGGCAAACAACTCAATTAAAAAAAGAAGGAACTAGAGACAGACATTTTCCCCAGAGTAGATATACAAATGGTCAATAAGCACATGAAAATTAAAACCACACACACACACACAAAAAGTCAAATCTGCTGGGTCAGCTATAAGAAAAAAATGTAAAATAAGCAATGTACACGAGGATGTGGAAGAAAAATTGGAATCTTTGTACACTGCTGTCAGGAATGTAAAATGGTGTAGCTGTTTTGGAAAGCAGTTTTGAAATCCTCAAAAAGTTAAACATAGAGTTGTCATATGATCCAGCAATTCTAATTCTGGGTATATAATCAAAGAAGTATAAACAAGTATTCAAACAAATTCTTGTACATGAATACATGAAACACTGGATTCATAACAGCTAAAAAGCAAACATCCCAAATGCCCCTCAACTGATGAATGAAATAAACTGTTCTATATCCATACAGTGGAATATTATTTGGCCATAAAAACTGAACCTCTGATACAGTATGGATGAACCTCAAAAACATGCTAAGTGAAAGAAGCCAGAAACAAAAGGCAATATAATGTATGATTCCATTCATATGAAACATCCAGAGCAGGTAACACTATATGGCTAGAAAGAAGAGACTAGATGTTGTCAGGGGCTAAGAGGAAGGGGGAAATGGGATGACTACTTAATGGGTGGGATTTCCTTATAGGCTAATGAAAATGTCTTGGAACTACACTGAAGTCATGGCTACACTCCATAGTGACTGTATTAAATGTCACTGAACTGCATACTTCAAAGGGTTTAATTTTGTTATGTCAGTTTCACCTCACTTAATAAAAATGTAGCTACTCTTGCCACACTGTGCACACACAGTCTTCTATGTATCACAACATAATGTGAAGATATTACTCATAATACTACTGTCTCTTATCACAGGTAGATGGCTGGAAGTGTCCACGGCATGGACTCTAAGTAAAATTAAGCTGTAATTAAAATTAGAGACATTGGGATCCCATCAAATAACTAAAAACCTTTTAGGGTAGAACCTGGGAGCATCTCTAGTTTAGAACATAGACTGATCATAAAGTCCATTAAAGCAAGTAACATATTTATCTAGGTAAATCCAAGAACAAACTGCTTGTCCCATGAAAGAACAAAGTGTTTGTCCCACGAAAAAGTATTCAAAGCAATTTTAAAAAACTGAACCAAACTAATTAACATTTATACTAAGTTGTCTAATACAGTAACCACTTAAGATACGATAATGTAAATTGAAACGTGCCATAACTGCAAAGTATACACTGGATTTCAAGGGGTTACTTCAATAATTTTGTATTGATTACATGTTAAAAAGATTTGGAAATAACTAGGCTAAAATTAATTTCATTTTTTATTAATGTTACTATAAAATTTTAAGTCACATTTAAATCTATTTAAGTCATATATATGACTTGCATTATATTTCTATTAGATAGCACTACCTTAAGGGAATTCTTTAGAAAATTCTTTAAGGTTCCATAGGACATTCTGAAAAACTGTACCTTGTATACAAACCAACCAAAAAACCCCCAACATTCTAGACAGAAGTGACAAAGAAGTGATCTATCAAGTTTGCTTCCCCCTTGATTTGTAATGAAAAACCGCATTCTTTGACATGAGGATAATACTATCTGCATAAAATAATTCAAATTGATGAGAGAAAATTTTAGTTGAAATGAATTTTAATAGAACCAATCCAATTCAACATACATAAGAACAATGAACTACAGAGAATTCAAATAACTTCTTAGCATTTACACTGGTGTCTAAATGACAGAGTAAGGAGTAGACAGATCTTCTACCATTTATTCCAGAACTGTTTCTACTTTATTCAACTATTCATAAAATATCACAGCATTGGGCTTCCAATGGCCTAAAGACACAAACTACAGCCTAATGGTATTAATCCTGGTTGTATACTAGAATTCCCTGAGGAACTTATATTTTTTTTTAAAATATGGATGCCCGGCTCTCAATCTCCAGATATTAGTCAACTACACATATTTTAAAAGCTTATTAGAAAATTCTAATGAGCAGCCAGAACTGGGAACTAATGACCTACTTTACCCAGATGCAAGCATAGGCCTATCTTGAAACAATTTTTTAGGTACAATTCAATGAACAGGTAATAAAGAATGAAGCAATCTGCTCTTCAAACCACGGCTACTTCAAGGAGCAAACAGAAACACCTGAGGATGATAAGCAGCCTGTAGGCATTGGTATAACTAAACTCTTGATCACCAATACCCATCCTAATTGTTAAATATTTTGAACATCACCCTGTGAAATTTTATGTCAACCAAAGGGAGCACAAAAAAGATGATATATTAGTGCTGGACAGAATTCTAAGTCTAAAACTAATGTAACTCCATTTTACAAATGGGAAAAAAAGACCCAAAGAAAAGTGACTTGTCAAAGTGACAAGCCTACTTGGTGGTAAAACCTGGACTAGATACCAGGATGAGGCTAGTCATGTCTCCACATCAAGTGCTGTTGTAGCAACAACAACAAGGGGATTGCAACATACACTTTCTTTGTTAGACGAAACAGAAGGGAATGGATTAGAAAATGTATTATTCTAAAGAACTGTTTTTGCACTGTCATGATATAAAACATTTCTTATCATGATTGTGGTAAAAGTTTACAACAACCCTGCCACTCTGCAGTAGCTGGGATCAAAAACAGTCTTTAAGTCACAGGGACTTCTTTTCCCAGGAATACTCCAATGATCAAGTTTCCAAATTACACTGCTGTTATTTCAGGGATATTACATTTTTAAAAAGATACTACCAAGGGAGAAAAAATATTAATAATCTGAGTTCAGTTCAAGAGTCATATCTTGTAATAGAAACAATTCTACCAGTTTCATTCATTATAAATGAAAAGAATCCAGGTCTCTTTTGCATGGTTCACATTTTGATCAATTTGTGTGTCAACTGTTGGTTCATAAAAGTTACCTGGTGTTCTGCTTCCTGGAACTTTCATGTATAGCTGAACTGTGTTCATACCCAGTATGGTATGACCAACGTGGCTTAGAAGGTTTCCTGCTGATACAACACGCACAAAAGCAGGAAGTTTAGTCAGCTCATGTAGCTGCAATTTCCACCTGCAATAAAAAAACAGATCAAGAGTGAAATCGTGCTATAAATATGTGTAGTAAAGAACTTTAAGAACCTTGTGTTCCAATCAGAAAAACAATCAAATCTATAAATATTTTACTTCTTCATAGGAAAACTCTGGAATGCTTAAATTTTTAAATTTTGCAAAGAAAAAAAAAGCATCCTAACAAAAAGCATAAAAATTAAAGAAAAAAACTGACTTCCTTATTTTTATAATTGTTGTATAATTTTATTTTACTAATATATTTTATATAATTAATTATTACGATTGTGCAACAACATATAGAAGGGACTTGAAAATGTATACAAGAGTTTTAAGTCAAAGAAAATAATTGTAAAACCTAGCAAAAATAATTTGGCTAAAACCTGCATACTAATTTAGAAAAATGACAATGAACAAAACAGAAGAGGAAACTAGACAATTCTCAGTCATGCTAATAGGACACCTCTTTGTATCATTTAACAGAAACACTACTAGAAAGACTTACTTTTTGTCATCAGACAGGTCAATGTTGGTCCCAAACTTTATGGTTTTAAAGGGTCCTTTCCTTCTCCTCCCAGAACTTAAAGAGAGAGACAATATTAGAAACATGCCTTTTAAATAGAAATACTAAGTGGACATTACAAATTACTTACTTATCTGAAGATGTAGATTCATTATCTGAGTAGTCTTTATGGTGACTTCTTTTCTCATTTTCTTCCTGTAGATTAAGCAAAAAGCATTCCAGCTTAGTATTTATTCTGCAACCTTTTTACCATACAGTTGAAAAGTTTACATATAGATCAATGGTGGAGTATTGAAGCTAAGTTTCTATAGACCTCTCTCACATGAAAAATTCTTCAAAGACCACATTAAATAGAAAGCCAGGCAAAGTGAAAACTCACTGGCATGGTATCTAACCCCCTCCACTAGCCACATAGTCTTCCTTTCTAATATTCTCCTATAAGGAGAAAAACTATAGATTCTCGTTCCTGCTCCACTCCTCCCCACTTTCAAGAGAGATGACACTTAGGTTGACAGGCCCAGAAGTGGCAACCTTGATTATAAATTTCCTCAACTAACAGAGGTATGCATGTATATGTAATTATATATGTATGCAATGCATATGGAAAGACAGAAGTTAAGATTTTCTCTGTTCTTTATTATGGACAAATGTGAGAAAGTTATTTCTGGCATAAATCTTTTTTCCCTCAAAATGAATTATATGTGAATTATAAACATTTACAACATTAGCAAGTAAATTAAATGCTGGACAAATACAGGAGCTTTTCAATGCAAATATTACTATTATTTATGATTTCCCTGTCACTGACATGGTATCTTTTTACCCCTGTCCTACGATTTCTGACTTAGGTATACTTAGTGACACTTCTGCCTCCCTCCCTTTAAATGTGTATGGTTTTTAAACATTTGTTAAATTTTTCACACGTCTCCAAAGCACACACAAAAACCACTGTTTCTTTGATTATGGATCAATTTCTATTTAAATACTCTGCCTCTCATCATCTTCTTCCAAAAATTTCCTCGATGATCTCTGAATCCTGCTTATTATCTATTTCTTTTCTGACCACTATACTACCATGGAGTTGAAGTATCTCAGAAGTTTGAACTAGAGAGATTTATATGAACAACAAATTTACTGGAACTCATATAAGCTGCAGGATAGTTTTTATTAGATGACTTTCTCTATATGATATAGAGTGGTATTGAAAAAGGAACACAATCACATGATTAGCAGGTACAAATGTTGCCTAGATTGAAAATGTGAATTCAGGGCAGAATTTTAAACAGAGATAAGCAAATTTAATGAATTGCAAATAAAAGACTGGCAGGCACATATTAAATTTCAGCTGTGGGATATGTACAGAACAACTTAGTACAGATGAGTGTTTGAGTAATACATTTAATAAAGTCACTTTTATGGATGTTTTATGTTCACTTTGTAGGAGAATTCACGAAGTTCTCATTTCAGTGCTAAAGGATTTTAGTAATGCTTCATTGCTGAAAGGCCTATGAATCTTAATAATAATCCTGATTATTTTTCAAAGTTTTGTTCCTTAATTTTCTGTATATTTTAAAATAACTTATGCCTCTCTTAGAGTTTTCTCTTTCAGACTAAGATGGATAATGCTTCCTGGGAGAGTTATATATCAGATAATACTAACCTGATAGTTTAATGGGAAGGCATAAGACAAGGAACTCTGCAAGCATACAGCAAACTTGAGACTTAGTTTATCCTCTAATATCAGCAGTTCCCAATTAGGGATAATTCTACCTCACAGGGGACAGTTGGCATGTCTGGAGACATTTTTGATCGTCAAAACTGCAATAGGGTACAGGGGGTGTGCTACGGACATCTAGTAGGGAGAGGCCAGGGAAGCTACTAAATATTCTACAATACACAGGGCAGCCCCCCACAACAAAGAACTATCCAACCCAAAATGTGAATAATGGCAAGGTTAAGAAACACTTCTTTAAATAGAAATATTCCAGAAATGGCAGAGATACCTCACTAGACAGTAACAGTATTTATCAACCCATAGGTTTGCTCAGACTTAGTAGTAAGAGTGAAGTGGATAGCATTTATAAAGTATTTTATAAAAATAAGAATAATAAAAAACTATTTTATGTAACAATAAAATAATGAGATGCTTACAAAAGCTCCCTTTCAAAGCAAAATAGTATAAAATAAAATAAAAATCTCCAAAATAAAATAATTTTCAGTAAGTAAATACTTACTCTCAATGATTCCTGGAAAGAGGAGGCCTGGTACTGTGCATATTTAGCAATTGTAGTATGAGATCTATTACTTTCACAATGCCAGATTTTCTTTGTTCCAGTAGGATCCCAGTTCTCATCTGCTGGCTGCAACAACTGTGTCCTCACTTCCACCATATGTTCATTGTTAGCTTCTACCAAAGTTTTGGTAGAGAAAAGTCCCAGGTCTTCATAAATAAATAAATGTAGTTAATAAATAAAAATAAATTTGGAATAATATTTTTTAAAGTGCTTTTATTTTTCCTTTAAGTAAAAAAGAAAAATGTTTCATAGTACTTATCTAATTCCCCTGAAACACAAGGGCCTCTGCACACTCTGAAGCCCTGGACCTAACTGTCATGCTATTAACAGAGGGAGAAAAATCAAGGGGCCATGGAATGAAGATTCACTCATTTATTCAATCTCTGAAAGTGAGAAGAACTATTTAGGAGGCTACAGTACTTAATAGTAATATCAAAGTTTTACCTGAATCTTGTATTAAGAATTTCTATTAGTTAACCTAAGTCATAATTATATAACAGCAAGAAAATAAAAGCTAAATTAAAAAAGTAATACTCCCTCTCTCCCTCCTTCTCTCTCTCAGACAGGAAAATATTAAAATGAAAATGTGAAAAATCACAAGAGAATAGAAAAAAGTTTCTGCTAGTGCTTTAGAAGTTAATAGATAGTAAAGGAAATTCACATACTTTTCCTTTTTCTTATTTAAAGCTTACCCAACTTAAGAGCTCCAGCAAGGCCACGTATTACTGTAACAGGGTTGTTTGGATTTGTACAAAATTGATGTAATGGAGGAAAGAAAGCATCACGTTTATTTTCCAACTGCAAAATTAAAATATACTGTTAGATCTCTATAAAGTAGACCTTTGAGAAAATATTATGCCAAATTCACATTATTTTATTTCAATTTAAAGAAATAATACATTCTATGCGCCATTACTTCTATTTTTTATATTTTATAGTATTTTATCACTATGTCTTTTGATTCTAATTGGAGTTAGATAGTACCACATACATTTTTCTTGTTCATTATATCTTGAACAAAACACGTGAGAGGTAAAATTTAAACTTCAAAATCAAAATGGTTTAAATATTACTCAGCCTTAAAAAGGAAGAAAGTCCTATCACATGGTACAACATGGATGAATCTTGAAGACACTTTAAATGAAAATAAGTCAATCACAAAAAAAAACTGTGCATAATTTAACTTACATGAGGTATCTAATGTAGCCAAATTCATACAAATAGAAAACAGAGTGATGGCTACCAGGGGCTGGGGAGACCAGGGAAGAGGGAGCTGTTTTTTAAATGGGTATTAAACTTCAGATCTGCCAGATGAAAATGTTCTGGAGAACTGGTTTAAACAATAAGAATATACTTAACACCACTGAACTGTACACTTAAAAATGGTTAAGATGATAAATTTTATGTTATGTGATCTTTATTATAAAATAGAGGAAAAATCAGTTTTTAAAATCAATAAAAAAATTGGGAGTAGAAGTGGGAAAATGGGAAGATGGAAAGAAATGGGGTAGGAGGACCTATTTCGGAGAAAGATAAATAAGAGTTGCTTTGACTGAACTCTTATCAACTTCCTATATGAGATATCTAAATGTCTGTTAAGTAAAACTAATCCTCAGTTCTAAATAATCTATTAAGTCTTTTAATGACATATCTATCATCATATTTTATATTCTTGAACACTTTTTCTTTGGGAAGGTAAATATCATTTTTTTAGTAGATGGACAAAACAATGAATATTAAGGTCCTTACAACTAGTAAAATGCCGATTTAAAACACAGCTTACTTCAAAAAAGTTATTTTTAATGGTTTTTGCCAACATCTATTAAAAATTAGGGGTAGTAAAAAATTATTTTGTGCTACTGTAATAGAATCATAGTTAATAAATATCTGAGAAGGCATGTTTTAAATACTATTACAAAATCTTTTTGAATACATCATTTTCCCCTGAAACATTCAAGCTGCCACCAATAATTTTAATGTTTCCTAAAGGGCATCCATATTGATTTAAAGCAAGATCTTACAAAAGACAGGTAGGTGCAAACACTGGTTTGATTTATTTCTAGTCAGTCAATTCAGACTCACATAAATACTAGGTGTAGGTGGATTCAACTTTTCCTTTGGCAAGGGAGGGTATGGTGAAGATGGTGGTCTTGGTGGCGGACATTTATCCAATAAAATGCTACTGTTAGATAAGCCATTTTTACCTAGGTTCCTTTAAAACAAAACAAAACAAAACAAAAAAAGGAGAATAAATCAGCTGTACATTTATTTAGAACACAGAAAAAAAAAATCTGAATTAAGTCTTAACTAAATTACTGGGTAGTTAAACAAATCCGTAAGATTTGGATCCACCAGGAAAAAACTGGTGGATTTACTAAATTACTCATTTTAGTAAATACTTCAGTAAATATAGGAATCAAGCTATCTCTCACTGAAGAAAAATAATAGAAAAGATACTGTGTGCTCAGGCGCATCCAACTCTTTACAACCCTCTGTCAGAACCCTCTGTCCATGGAATTTTCCAGGCAAGAATACTGAATGAAGTGGGTTGCCATTTCCTACTCCAGGGGATCTTCCCGACCCAAGGATCGAACCCACGTCTCTTGCTTTTTCTGCATTGGCAGGCAGATTCTTTACCACTGAACCACCTGGGAAGCCAGAAGAGATACTATAATACATGAATTATTGATGACATTCCTTATACTGTTGGTAATTTTCCAATTTTTCTTTACCTAAAGAACACAAACCCTAATTTCCTCTCCACCATCTTCCACCATCAGATGCTTTCCATTAAATGTTAAACAATAACTTGACCAAAAAAAGTCTAGATAATTAGTAAAAATCTCTCTTCCTATGTCTCATCTCAGTAACTGTAACAAGAATATCTTTGTGACAATTCTCAAACCTGAAAAGATCTTTGCTTCTTTTCTCAAATGTTGGAAAGAATTTTCTGTGAAACTCCTTGACAAAATTCAGCAAGACCCCAACCTACTATATTTTACAGCAAATGACACCATTTTAAAAAATGAAGCATATAGTTCCTACCCATTATCTGACAGTCTATTATAACAGCTATTACTTACTAATATTTGGTGTTTCTTTTTCTTTAATGATGGTATGTTAGTTAAATTATCAGTTAAAATATGGTAAAATTATTCCCAAACTGCAATTCTTTTAGTATAAGGAAGAAAAAGAAAAGTATTTTCTATTTCTTAAAGTTTCTACCCAACTTAGAAAATCAGCAAAATATAATGTTGAGCTTTCAAATCATTCCAGATTAACTAATTTACCTCACTCAATTATTACATGTTCAAAACTAACCATTACATTAAAATATCAAATATTCTTAACATATTAAAATTTCAGATGAATTTGAAAATTATAATTATGGTAGAGTTAAAAAAACAGTAATTTTACTTACTGAAGAAGGAACTAGCAATTTTTCATCATAAACAATAAAGGTTGAAAGCTTTTGTAGTACTGGAAAAACCTTACAAACCAGTCTGTTCTCATTGGCACTAATGAAAACTAAGGCTTGAAATTTCACTGAGATGTTACACTACAGCATCATGGATGACGCTTTTTAAAATTTTCTCAACTACAACGCCAAGTAAAAACAAGAGTTCGACAGGTATCAAAGAATGAAATAAGTTTAAAATAATTGACTCTTTTAAAAAAGTATGTGAAATAGTCATTAAAGTGAAATTCTAAGTTCAACTAACATTTAAGGTTATAAGTAAAATAAATGAATATTCAACTCATTACCAGCTTTCAATAATTCTCCACAGTGTATCTGTATATTTAAAGACAGACATGATATTTAACCTCTTAAATTTAGGTGTAAAATTGGTACTAATTCATAAACTACACGGCAGTAGAAAATGCTTGGCTGGGACTACTAAAGAAACAATTCAAATATTATCATTAAACCAATGCCAAGATAAAACATTCACTTACAATTGCCACATAAATAAGTTTTCATGCTAAATCATGTATCAACCACTGTTTGGAATTTAAACAAAATTTCACTCCAAACACATAAAATTTGTTTGCTAGAGCAGGAGATGGATGTACTGTATAGTACATAATTAAATATTTTAAGGAATTAGATCAAGCATTTTAAGGATATGGATCAAGTATTAAATCTGTACCATAAAAGAATATCTCATGCTAATTAAACATGACACAAAAATTTAAGCTTCTAAAACAGTTTGGACATTGAGAAATGAGGCAAGAATAAAGGGTGTGATTAGTCAGCAGAATTCTTCTTCTATCATTTGCACAGTTCTGTAACAAAAGTTAGAAAAAAGCAAATGGGAAAGTAAATAAAAGATGTAGCTGCCTTTATTTTAAGATAGAAAAAAATGTGAGGCATGACTAAGAGAGCTGAAACTGACTCAGCCATTGGATGCTGCAATTTCAACTGTAAACCAAAAAAAGAGGCAAAAGTATTGTAACTGACTTCTGATGATGCACAGCACTGACCACTAAGATGAACCCAACAAGAGTCAGATTAAAAATATCGAACACTTTAAAAACTAACCACATATGTGAAAATCAGAGGGTAGTTGCACTATGTGATCAAGCTGCAGTTAGTAGTTTCTCACTATACTTCAAACACTGACTCCCTGCCTAGTGAGGACAAGTCTGAAACAAATAGAAATTTCCCTTAAAGAACTGTTACTGGTAGCTTCTATATAGTGACTATAACCTTTGTCCACTCAAAACACTAAACGACAGAGATGTGGTTAACAGGAAGAGACTCGTATCTTTTGAACATGTATGTGCTCAACACTGTTCATAATACTTCAAGCCAAATAATGTATTTAATGTAACAATCCAAATATATATATATATATATGTTTAATAATCCAAAGTGGAGAAAGGCATTAAAGAAGCAGGTGCTGGAAAGGATTTAGACATTATCCCATTTTAAATCCTTTTCTCCCATTTTGAAACTCTTTTCCTGAGCAATGTAGATTATGCTATTTAGTTATTGCCCAATTATTTTATGGGCTTCCCCAGTGGCTCAGACGGTAGAATATCTGCCTGCAATGTGGGAGATCCTGGATCAACCCCTGGGTCAGGAAGATCTCCTGGAGAAGGGAATAGCCACTCCAGTATTCTTGCTTGGAGAATCCCATGGAAAGAGGAACCTGGCAGGCTTAAATCTTGGCTTAAATTTACTTCCAAATTTACTCTCATCATTTGGCAGAGAAATGAACAGTGCTCTGTAGATAAACTGGCCTACACTTTTAATTATCTTTGATTATGAAGTTCCTAGGCCAGAAACATCAAGTCTCTTGCATCTATGTCACTTTCCTTTTCTAAGTTCTGGACCCCTGACCAGGTCAGGACACCATCAACAGAACAGAAATGGGAAACAATATGCCTACCATTTGCCATCCTAACTTTTCTCTAAGCCTCAGAAGATTTTTATCTTCAATTTATCAGAGCATTTTTTTCTTGCTTCTTCATTAGATAAACTGAGGCCCAGATTTACTGAAATAACCCAAGCAACCCGATTTTTGATGTATCTAGCTACTGACAATACATATCTGTACACACACACAAATCAAGTCTCTGTAATAAGGCAAATTGTCACTAAGAGTTAAAAGATAAAAATAAATCTTTATAAAAAATGTACCTTAAAATTCTGAAGTCAATTTATATATATATATACCTCAAAGCTGAGAGGAAAAAGTATAATCTTTAGTATTATACTTTTATAATCACAAATCACACCTAGTTACTTACAGCCTAAGACTTTATTAATGAAAACTTAAGGTAACTGCTATTGTATACTGTTTGTAACTTGTGTCTCCATGGAACTCTGACAATATTCCTCTCCAGAATACCATTAAGTCCCATATAGTCCATGTCAGTTTTGGATCTCTATATTTTCCCCCAC